GAAGGCGCTGCGAAAGCAGACGCGTTCTAGGAGCCACCACGATGAGGTCTGACACTGCAGGCCGCATCGTGATGACGTTTGACCAGGTCTGGTATCGTCGCAAAGGCTGGGCCTCCCTGCGGGTCCCCAGAATGGGTTCGAATACCTTCAACGAAAATCAAGAATAAAGAACTCCCATTAGTCCAGATTACGATTCGGAAATATTTGACACATTCGATTTTTCAGGAATGCTCAAGTCAACCTGGGCGATTTGGGATTTGGGCTGGGATTCGGGACCAGTCCTGGGGCGAAAAACGCGCCGCCCGTTCGACCAGACCTTCCCTCGGGAAACCAACGCGAGTTGCGTTCGATTGCGAGGGGGGGGCCCAGCCCTGACGCGCTCACATGCGAGCGCAATCCCATGCTGCATGCGCCGACTCGAGGCCGAGCTCAATCCCAGAGAAAAAACAACAACAAAAAAAACGGCCCCCATTAAGCCAGCAAAGAAGATCTCTCTGGCGAATGGTCATTCTTATATGTGTGCAGCCGAACACACACACACACACACACACATACACACACAGACACACACAGACACACACAGACACACAAACACACAGTGGAGTAGCACACGTCCTGAGGATCATCGACCAGTGAAGTCGCGACTTTGGCGCGAGCACGAGAAGCGTAGCCCGTATCCTCCAGCGTACTGTTTTGTTGGTCAATCCTGCCACCTTGCTCCTCGGTGTTGTCCTTTCGCGGGAGCGCTTTCTGGGCCCCTGGACCCTGACAAATGACCTGGGGTTGGATGGGGGGAAACTGCCCCCAGGGAAGGGGTCGGGGATTCTGGGGCCTGGGATTTTGATTTGGAAAAAGATTGCAATCGTGGGCCCAAAATTGTGCTTCGAGCGATCTACGTGATGCAATATACGTGGAGCAATTTATGTGATGCAATCGATGTGGTGAGATATGCACGTATGTGTATATATATATATATACTCATATATATATATACACACGGATCAACCAATCAATCAATCAATCTCTCTGTTGGGGCAGTGTTCAGTCAGCTCGACGAGAAAACAACGGAGTACGGACCACTGTGGCCAATCTCCTCATAGTGTGAACCGATCAAGCTATTCAAACCGTACCCTGAGGGCCTGTGAAGGGCTGGGCTGCTGTGCTGGGGGGGATCCCTCAGGCAGTCTGCAGCGCCCTGTGGTGGGGGACTTAGGGGCTGCCCTGCACCACCAGGGCCAGAAGAGAAAAAAAGGGGGAGCAGCGTAAGGCAGTCGTTTTTTTTTAGAGGCGAGGGGAGGAGGAGGTCGAGCGGCACCTGTCGGGGCGGGCAGGCGCAGCCTGATTGTGGGGGGGCCTTGTGGCCGTCTTGGGGGGACTTCAGAGACCTCTGGGGGTGTCCTGGAGCGTTGGAAACACAGAACGTCGAGAAGCCGAAACGCAACAAAAAGCAATGGACCCTGAGCGAATCTTGCCCCGAAGTGTCCTTGCGGGACTCCTCTTCGAGCGCTTGGGGCCTCGGGGAGCTGGAGCCTCCTGTGCCGCCCGGAATCCGTCGCCGAGCTGTCCAGAGCCGTTCGGAGGGTGGTGGCCCCCCAATAACGGGTAGCCCTCGGGCCCCGGGGAATACATATATATATACACACACACACACCTGTATATATAATTGCATGCAGGTGTCTATATCTATGTCTATGTAGATGGTGAACATATACATATACATCCAGATATTGATGTGCGTGTGGGTGTATGTGCGTGTGTCTGTCTGTGTGTGCGTGTGTGTCTGTGTCTATCTGTGTATGAGTGTGTGTGTGTGTGTCTGTGCTTTTTCCTGTGCCTGTGTCTGTGTCTGTGTCTGTGTGTCTGTGTCTGTGTCTGTGTCTGTCCCTGTGTCTATGTGTCTGTGTCTGTGCCTGTGCCTGTGTCTGTGTCTGTGCCTGTGTCTGTGTCTGTGTCTGTGTCTGTGTGTGCCTACGGCAGGTTCGTGTCGTGCCGACCCCAGCGTTGGTTCCCGACACCGCGCTGGATCGTTCAACCTTGAACGATCGGCCGCTGCCGCAATGTCCGATCGTTCAACATCGATCGATTCCGGGTCGCCGGCGGCCTTCAACCTTGAACACCCGCGCTGGGGTCGCCGCTGGTCGACACGACACTAACCTACCGTATGTGTTTTTCTCGGCGTGTCTCTCTGTGTGTCTGTGTGTGTCTGTATGGTTGCGTGTGTGTGTGTGTGTGTCTGTGTGTGTGTGTGTCTGTGTGTGCCTGTGTGTGTGCCTCTGTGTGCGTGTGTGTGCGTGTGCGTGTGTATTCGTGCGTGTGCAAGTGCATGTGTGCGTGCGTGTGTGCGTGCGTACGTGTGTGTGCGCGTGCGTCAGCGTGCGTACGCTTATGCGTGTGCGTGTACGTGTGCGCATGCATGTGCGTGCGTGTGCGTGTACGTGTACGTGTGCGTGTGCGTGTGTGCGTGTGCGTGTGCGTGTGCGTGTGTGTGTGTGTGTGTGCGTGGGTGTGCGTGCGTGCGTGTGCGCGTGCGTGCGTGCGTGCGTGTGTGCGTTTATTGCATGCTTGTGCGCCTGTGTGTGTTGTGCGCGTGCGCGTGCGCGTGCGCGTGCGCGTGTGCGTGTGCGTGTGCGTGTGCAAAAGCGCGTGCGTGTGCGTGCGTGTGCGTGTGCGTGTGCGCGTGGGTTTGTGTGTGTGTGTGGGTGCGTGTGGGTGTGTGGGTGTCGGTGTGTGGATGTGTGGGTGTGTGGGTGTGGGTGTGTGGGTGTGTGGGTGTGTGCGTGTGTGGGCGCGTGGGTGTGTGGGTGTGGGTGTGTGTGTGTGTGTGCGTGTATGCGCGTGCTCGTGCGTGCACGCGTGCGTGCGTGCGTGCGCGCAGTCGTGCGTGCGTGCGTGCGTGTGTGCCTGTGTGTGTGTGTCTGTGTGTGTGCGTGCGTGCGCGCGTGCGTGTGCGTGCGTGCGTGCGTGCGTGCGTGCGTGCGTGTGTGTGTGTGTGTGTGCGTGTCTGTCTGTGTGCCTGTCTGCGCGTGTCTGTCTACATGCCTGTGTGTGTGTGTCTCTGTGTGTGTGTCTCTGTGTGTGTGTGTGTGTGCGTGCGTGCGTGCGTGCGTGCGTGCGTGCGTGCGTGCGTGCGTGCGTGCGTGTGTGTGTGTGTGTGTGTGTGTGTGTGGGGGGGGGGGGCGTGTGCGTGCGTGTGTGCGTGCGTGCGTGAGTTCGTGCGTGCGTGCGTGCGCGCGCGTGTGTGTTTGTGCGTGTCGGTGTGTGTCTGCGTGTGACTGTGTGTGTCTGTGAGTGTCTGTGTGTGTGTGTTTGTGTGTGCGGTGTCTGTCTGTCTTTGTGTGTGAGTGTGAGTGTGAGTCTGTGTGTGTGTTTGTTTGTGCGCGTGCGTGTGTCAAATCCTGGACAGATTTTCCTTCAGCATCCTCCTCCTCCCCCTCCTCCTGCTCCTCGTCCTCCACCTCCTCGACCCCTCCTCCTCATCATCCCCCTTCTCCTCATCCACCTATTCCTCATCCTCCTCGCGCGACGCCAGAGGTCTGGGGCCCGATCGGTCCTCCACAATACAGTACAGTGCCCCGCGCGGCTGCATCAGAGCGTCTGACTCAGCGCCGGCGCTGGCAGCGCAGCCATCGGCTGCGACGAGGGGGCCTCGCCGTCCTCCTCATGCCTCCTCATCCTCCTCCTCCTCGTTCTCCTCCTCCTCCTCGTCCGCGTCATCCTCCTCCTTCTCCACCAAACGTGCTCCCTCCTCCCTCTCTCCCTCCCTCCCCCTGCTCCTGCTCTTGCTCCTGCTCCTGCTCCTGCTCCTACTCCTCCTCCTCCTCCTCCTCCTCCTCCTCTTCCTCCTCCTCCTCCCTCCTCTCCTTCTCGTCCTCCTCCTGCTCCCCATCCCTCCTCCTCCATCCACCCTGATCGTGAGCTCCCCTCCTCCGATCTTATTCTCCCCCTCCCCCCCCCCCGACCTCCACGATCCGCACCCCACCGCGCGGGAGGTCTGAAGACATCGACCAGTCCGTCTGGGAACGTCTCTGGAATGTCTCTGAACGATACGCCGTCTCACGCCTCTGTTCGCGTTGCACCGGCGGGCGCGGAAAGACCTCCGCAGGGACCCAGATCGTCAAGCAGAGCCAGGGGGGCCGAAATGCAATCTCAGACCATCCTCCGATATGATTACTTCTGTCCGCGGTCCCAGAGCTCCCGTCCCCCTCCCCGAGGGCAGTCCTGCGTACAGGATCCAGGGGCCGAGTCAGTTTTGGTCCCATCGATGGGCCGTGGAAGCCGACATCGAGGAGGAGCGCCCCGACTGTAAAGAAGTCCTGCCGTCGGATCTCTGGGATCCGTGCCCGCGCAAGGCGAAGAGAGCCAAACCCCGCGAGAGTTGAGCAGGGACCGACCGTCCTGGCATTCCTATAGACCCACCCCGACTTGCTCTCAGAACAAGCGAATGCTCGAATAACAAAAACAATGGATTTGGAGCATATGCCTGATGTACAGTCAACCCGTATAGTAAGGATGCGTGGTAAGGATGCAAGGGCCTTGGAAAGCCACGTTAAGGTTTATTCGAGCAGGGCTGGCCAGCGAAAACTGCCAGGGATGGACCTAAGGGGCAAAGGTGCAAGGGTAACCTTGGAAAGCTCCCTCATCCTTACAATGCGGGTCGACTGCACTAAACTAGGACGGGATCAGGCAGACATGTGTAAAAACACGTCGCGCAAACCACGCAGGGTTATTAGAACTTGGTGGGCCGATAGGCGAGCCAGGACGCCTCGCCACTGCTTGAGAGAGAAAAGCCAGGAAGGAACTGGCCATGGCACGGCAGCCTCAGCACAGGTGGCATACCCAGCAGCAGGTGCTGATTCAGGCAGCGACTCCGACGCCATCAGCTCGCTCGGCGAATGAACCTGCTGCAGCCGATCCCCCTCCCTCTGATCCCTCCCCAGCGCAGGGGGCGGCCGCCCTCTCACACGCGCGCGCGCGTGCGCACGGAGGAGGGGCCAGCGCCT